GGGTTTAGGGCTTTAGGGCTTAGGGCGGTTGAGACTGTAAGCCCAGCCTCAGCGGTTGCAGAGGTCGTGAATGCTCCTGCAAGACTCGACTGCTCCCGCCAGGGCCACAGCGCTATGTGAACCAAGGTCCCCCCCCAAAAAAAGGCGCCTAAAACATACACTGCTAGACTGCCAGACCCTCGGCAGTATACCTTCCAAACCCATGCCTTCCAAGGTTTATGCTTCTTAGTTCTCCAATACCCAACCNNCCAACCTTGAAACTTTTGGGGTTCTTATCAGTTAGTGGTAATCTGAAAGTTTAACATTTTATTTCCCTGGCTTACTGGGGCACCCTAAACTCTAAACCCTAAACCCCTAAACCCTAAACCCTAAACTGTGGCTTAGGTACCCTTTTAGGCTGCTGAGGAAGCCTCGAGCCCCGACTAGGTCGAAGAACATAGCACCAATTAGGGTTTAGGGTTGAGGGTTTAGGGTTTAGGGGTTTAGGGTTTAAGGTTTAGCGTAAATTAGGGTCTGGGACTTAGGGTCCTTGGATGCAAGACTACATGAAGCATCCAAAAAACCCTCTCCTGCGCCTCTAAGTACAGCAGGATCAGTCGAGGTTCTGCCGTCTTCACGGTGTTTCAGGGATTTAGTCCCGGTAGAAGCATAGCTATTTGGCCATTCCTGCAGAATCCCTCATGATCAAAAACACTTGCCTAGTAGTTCCCAGGCATCCGCGAGGCAGCGCGCATGCCCAAGTCTGCATCCTCGGCAACGCTGCGAAGGCCTTGCATTTCGACTCGGGCCTTGTTCCTCTTGAAAAGCTCGTCCTATAGTTTAAACCTTGGATAGGGTCCAATGAAGCTTAAGCCTTAAAGCCTATAGAGCTTAGCTTACACTCTTAGCCCTGAAAGAGGTATTGGGTTAGGGTTCGAATTAGTTTCGGGCCAAGCCCGTAATTTGCAATCCCTGAGACCGAAGCCCCATACCCGGTTGGGTGTGTGGAATTTTGGGTGGAGCCGGGAACCTTGCGCCGAAGAGGGCCATGGTAGGGCTGGGCCTAGGCAAAGTTGGGGCTTCCAGAACCCTGATTCCTACCCTGAACTTCCACGGCCTACTTTTTGTAGGGTTCCTAAAGCGGCTTACAAGAAGAACCTACAAAAAAGCAGGCTATAGCAGGTTAAGGTAAAGCCAGAAAGGCCCTCAGGCCCTCAACCACGCCAGCTCTTATCTTGGGCTTTAGTGTCTGGGGCATGACCCCACCCTAAACCCTAAACCCTAAACCCTAACTCACCCCAAACCCTATATAAACCCATATATAACCCCTATTATTAACCCTATAACCCTACAACCCTAAAGCCCTAAACCCAAAACCCTAAAACCCTATATAAGCCCTAAAGCCTAAAACCCTAAACCCTATAAACCCTAAACCCTGCGCACCCTAACAGCCTAGAGAACTCAACCATGCCACTGCAGGATCAGCTGGCACGTCCGCCCCGGCACCACAGGCTGGTGCTATATATAAATATGTATGGGTTTAGGGTTTATAGGCTTTAGGGTTTAGATCGGATGCGATCAGGCTTCTTGCCCTGTAGTATATATCTCCAGGGCTTGGGGTCTATAAATTCGATCTATGCTAGACCCAGGTTTTTTAAGGGTTTAGGGCTTAATAAGGGGAGAAAGACTAAGAGCGACAGACAATACCAGGCCTCGGAGGATAATAGTTTAGGGATTCGAGTTTAGGGTTGTATAATTTATTTTATATAGATTGTCTTTAAGTACACAATCGAAGTTCCGGTTTTGGTTTCCTCGGGGTACATTGGGCACTTCGAGCAGCCTTAAATTGGATCTTCGAGAT